TGGTAGGGGTGTTCGCCAGGGGTTCCAACCAGGGAGAGCCAGATGTGAGGAGGTCGGGTGAGCCCGATGGGATGGATGGATGGATGGCTGAGCAAGTGCGTAGTCAGACAGGCCAAGTCGGTAAGGTAGAGGACGGTAAGGTACAAGGGAGCAGGCAGAGAATCGTCGGGTCACACGCCAGGTCAGCAACAGGAGATCAGATCTAATAAGGGGCATCCAGGGAGAGAGGTCAGGCAAGCAGGGGTCTGGGCAGGAGAAATCAGCAAGGTCAAGAGCAATCCGGTCAATAAACTTACTAGGCACAGGTACAGGAACACAGGAAGCAGGTAAGACCAGAAGGCAACGAAATGACAGCTCAGGGACCTTTAAATATCCCGCCCTGCGCTGCCATTGGTGCCCAGCGGGCGGCCGCGGCTTCTACTGCGCATGCGCGAGCTCGAACGCCGCGGCCGGCCCGGACCTAGTGCCCGTGTACTAGGTGGAGCAGTGCGCCTGCGCCGGGACCATCGCGGCAGGGATCAAGGAGATCCCTGACAGTATGACATTCATTAGGAAATGCATTAGTTGTCTGATCATTTTGGAGAAACAGCAAAAAAACAAAAAACAAAATATATATAGGAGTACTACTAATTATGTTACATTCTAAGTATTCTCTTTTGCTAACAGAAAAATGCCAATGCTAATAAAGCCCGTGCTTGTGCGCCATCTAGCGAACATATCCGGTATTGCACCTAAAAATGTGCCAGACGCGATTCCACATTTACTAATAGCAAAGTAGACGTTGGTTAGTGAGATTGCTAGACGCCGCTCAGGAGACTGACAGGTCTTGATTGATTTCACTGAGTCTGCCTGAATGGTCAGAGTCTGCTGGTAGACTCACGTCTTAGTAAATCAGGGTCCTGATGTCTCATTACAGAGAACCCGTCACCACAACATCATATAGGGGGATAATGGTCAATTATGATATCAATAAAGATAAGTGAAAACAATGAAACTTACACCCAAACACTTAAACCCCGAACCAAAATCTTTGAATCCCCTCTTACATACAACCAAAACATGGCTTGCACCACACACATTACATCACGCCATGCATGGCAGAGTGAGAGCAATCATTCTCCATCCATTACTCAGGGTCACCTCTACACTGAGGACCAGGAAAGGCATTTATAGTGCCCCCTGTGGGCCATTATTGAAGTTTTGTCATCAGCACACACAATTCTAGGGCTGGACATGTTGGGTATCTATTTACTCGGCACAACCTCATTATTTACAGAAAAAACTAAGTAACAAATGTCATCTATGTGCTCTAAGATTACAATGAATGTATTTGTACTGAAATGTAACATTGATGAACTATTGATTTAATATCATGTGACATAAAGATTGTACCTACCACCATTTTATTCTGCAGGTCCTCTGATTTCAGAAATATATGTTTGGGGGTTTAACTAATCTTCAGGCCTAAAATGTGGATTGTAATATATCTGCTACACACTTCCCATCTCCTGACTTCTTGAAAAACACGGCATAGCAATCCCCCCCCCAAGAAAGTTCTTGTACGCCCCTTCTGTGTAATGGGGGATTAACCAAATGTCCTCAGGAGATTTGCTGAGCTGATCAAACATTTTACATCGATTAAACATGGAAATTGTTGTGTTTGTTCACTAGTGTGATACGTGTCCTGTGTGTGATCTGTGTCCTCTGTGTGATACGTGTCCTCTGTGTGATCTGTGTCCTGTGTGTGATACGTGTCCTCTGTGTGATCTGTGTCCTGTGTGTGATCTGTGTCCTCTGTGTGATACGTGTCCTCTGTGTGATACGTGTCCTCTGTGTGATACGTGTCCTCTGTGTGATACGTGTCCTCTGTGTAATCTGTGTCCTGTATGTGATCTGTGTCCTGTGTGTGATCTGTGTCCTCTGTGTGACCTGTGTCCTCTGTGTGACCTGTGTCCTCTGTGTGACCTGTGTCCTCTGTGTGATCTGTGTCCTCTGTGTGATCTGTGTCCTCTGTGTGATACGTGTCCTCTGTGTGATCTGTGTCCTGTGTGTGATACGTGTCCTCTGTTGTGATCTGTGTTCCTGTGTGTGATCTGTGTCCTCTGTGTGATACGTGTCCTCTGTGTGATACGTGTCCTCTGTGTGATACGTGTCCTCTGTGTAATCTGTGTCCTGTATGTGATCTGTGTCCTGTGTGTGATCTGTGTCCTCTGTGTGACCTGTGTCCTCTGTGTGACCTGTGTCCTCTGTGTGACCTGTGTCCTCTGTGTGACCTGTGTCCTCTGTGTGATCTGTGTCCTCTGTGTGATCTGTGTTCTCTGTGTTATCTGTGTCCTGTGTGTGATCTGTGTCCTCTGTGTGATACGTGTTCTCTGTGTGATCTGTGTCCTCTGTGTGATACGTGTTCTCTGTGTGATCTGTGTCCTGTGTGTGATCTGTGTCCTTGTGTGATCTGTGTCCTCTGTGTGATCTGTGTCCTCTGTGTGATCTGTGTCTTGTTGTGATACGTGTCCTGTGTGTGATCTGTGTCCTCTGTGTGATTGTGTCCTGTGTGTGATCTGTGTCCTCTGTGTGATCTGTATCCTGTGTGTGATGTGTGTCCTCTGTGTCCTGTTGTGATCTGTGTCCTGTGTGTGATCTGTGTCCTATGTGTTTCCTGTGTGTGATGTGTGTCCTCTGTGTGACCAGTGTTTTCTGTGTGATCTGTGTTTTTCTGTGTTTGTTCTGTGTGTGATCTGTGTCCTCTGTGTGATCTGTGTCCTGTGTTTTACGTTCTGTTTCTCTGTGTCCTGTGTATGATTTGTGTCCTGTGTGTGATCTGTGTCCTGTGTGTGATACGTGTTTCTGTGTGATCTGTGTCCTGTGTGTGATCTGTGTCCTCTGTGTGATCTGTGTCCTCTGTGTGATCTGTGTCCTCTGTGTGATCTGTGTCCTCTGTGTTTTCTGTGTTCCTGTGTGTGATCTTGTCCTCTGTGTGATTGTCGTGTTCTCTGTGTGTTGGATCTTTGTGTCCTCTGTGTGATCTTTGTCCTTGTGGCTGTGTGTGATTTTTTTTTTCCTCTGTGTGATCTGTGTCCTTGTGTGTGATTTTGTGTCCTCTGTGTGATCTGTGTCCTCTGTGTGATCTGTGTCCTGTGTGTGATACGTGTCCTCTGTGTGATCTGTGTCCTTTGTGTGTGATCTGTGTCCTCTGTGTGATACGTTGTTTCTGTGTGATTTGTGTCCTCTGTGTGATACTGTGTGTGTACTCTTTTGTGATACGTGTCTGTCTGTGTGATACGTGTCTCTGTGTGATCTGTGTCCTGTATTTGATCTGTGTCCTGTGTGTGATCTGTGTCCTCTGTGTGACCTGTGTCCTCTGTGTGACCTGTGTCCTTCTGTGTGACCTGTGTCCTCTGTGTGACCTGTGTCCTCTGTGTGATCTGTGTCCTGTGTGTGACCTGTTTGTCCTCTGTGTGACCTGTGTCCTCTGTTTGTGACCTGTGTCCTCTGTGTGATTGTGTCTCTGTGTTTTCTGTGTCCTGTGTGTTTTGGTTGTTGTCCTTGTGTGATACGTTGTGGTCTCTGTGTGATCTGTGTCCTCTGTGTGATCTGTGTCCTGTGTGTGATCTGTTTCTTGTGTTTTGTTTTCTGTGTCCTCTGTGTGATCTGTGTCCTCTGTGTGATCTGTTTTTTTTTGTGTGATTTGATAGTGTCCTGTTTGTGTGATTCCTCTGTTGTGTCCTCTGTGTGATTTGTGTCCTGTGTGTGATCTGTGTCCTCTGTGTGATCTGTATCCTTGTGTGATGTGTGTCCTCTGTGTCCTGTATGTGATTGTGTCCTGTGTGTGATTTTGTTGTTTTTGTGTTTTTGTCCTGTGTGTGATGTGTGTTTTTGTGTGACCAGTGTCCTCTGTGTGATTTTGTTCTCTGTGTCCGGTTTTTTTTGTTCTTGTCCTCTGTGTGATCTGTGTTTGTGTGTGATTTGTTCTTTGTCCTGTGTTGATCTGTGTCCTGTTGTGATCTGTGTCCTTGTGTTTTGTTTTTGTTTGTCCTCTGTGTGATCTTTTTTTTTTTTTTTGTTGATTTGTGTCTTGTGTGTTTGTTTTTTTTTTTTTGTTTTGTGTTTTCTGTGTTGTGTTTTTTGTGTTTTTGTTTGTGTTTGTTTGTTTTTCTGTTTTTCCTTTTTTTTTTCTCTGTGTTTTTGTTTGTTTTTTTCTGTGTTGTGTCTTTCCTTGTGTGATTTTTTTTTTTGTGATTTTTGTTCTGTGTTGATCTGTTGTCCTTTGTGTGATTTTGTCCTGTTTGTTTGATTTTGTCCTTGTGTGATACGTTTTGTTGTTTTTTTTTTGATCTGTGTCCTCTTTTTGATTTGTGTTTTTTTTCTTGTGTTTGTGTGTTTTTTTTTGTGTTTTGTGTCCTTTTGTGATTGTGTCCTGTGTTTGATCCTTTGTTTGTCTTGGTTTGTTTTTTTGTGTTTTGTGTTTCTGTTGATTTGTTCTGTGTGTGACTGTGTCCTCTGTGTGATTGTGTTTTTTGTGTGATCTTGTTCCTGTGTGTCTGGTGTTCTGTGTGATACGTGTTGTTGTGATACGTGTTTTGTGTTATTGTGTTTCTGTGTTCTTGTGTTGTGTGTGTCTGTGTCCTTTTGTGTTTTAACGTTTTTCTTGTTTGACCTGTGTCCTGTGTGTGTTCTGTGTTGTCTGTGAGATCTGTGTCCTTGTGTGATCTGTGTCCTGTGTGTGATCTGTGTCCTGTGTGTTGATCTGTGTTTTGTGTGTGTGTGATCTGTGTCTTTTGTGTGATCTGTGTCCTCTGTGTTTATGTGTCCTTTTGTGATACGTGTCCTTTTGTGTGATCTGTGTCCTCTTGTGACACTGTCTTTCTGTGTGATCTTTGTCTTCTGTGTGACGTGTCCTCTGTGTGATCTGTGTCCTGTGTGTGATACGTGTCCTGTGTGATCTGTTGTCCCTTTTTTGTGTGATTTGTTTTTGTCCTTGTGTGATCTGTGTCCTCTGTGTGATCTGTTTTCCTCTGTGTGATCTGTGTCCTCTGTGTCCTGTGTGTGATTTGTGTCCTTTGTGTGATACGTGTTCTCTGTGTGATCTGTGTCCTGTGTGTGATCTGTTATGTGATGTCTCTGATGTCTGGAAAGACTGGACTTCCATGAAAAACATTTCCCACACTCAGGACAGGAATACGGCTTCTCCCCTGTATGAGATCTCTGATGTGTGGACAGATGGGTCTTCTGAGAAAAACATTTTCCACACTCAGGACAGCAATACGGTTTTCCCCCTGTATGAGATCTCTGATGTATGTAAAGATCGGACTTCTGTGAAAAACATTTCCCTCACTCAGGACAGGAATACGGCTTCTCCCGCACGTGAGATCTCTGATGTGTGTAAGACAGGACTTCCATGAAAAACATTTACCGCACTCAGGACAGGAATACGGCTTCTCCCCTTTGTGAGATATCTCTGATGTTTGTAAAGATTGGAGTTCTGTGAAAAAACATTTCCCGCACTCAGGACAGGAATATGGCTTTTCCCCTGTGTGAGATCTCTGATGTGTGTAAAGATTGGACTTAAATGTGAAAAAACATTTCCCACACTCAGGACAGAATACAGCTTTCTCCCCTGTGTGAGATCTCTGATGTATGGTAAAGACTGGACTTCATGAAAAACATTTCCCGCACTCAGGACAGGAATATACGGCTTCTCCCCCGTGTGAGATCTCTGATGTGTGTTAAAGATAGGACTTCGTTGAAAAACATTTCCCGCACTCAGGACAGGGCTTCTCCCCTGTGTGAGATCGTTTTTATGCCTATTAAGATGGGATGTAGAATGGAACCTCTTTCCCGCACTCAGTACAGGAGAAGCTCTTCTCCTGTTGGAAGGCCGGCCCGGTCCCGCACAGTCTGAGGTTCCTCAGGATACGAGGAATCCGATGGTCCATCTACACTGGGTGGTGCCGGATGGACATTGGAGGGAGCCGGGTTTTCTCCTGGACTATACTGTGTGATGTCCTCATCTTCTACTTTCCAGTCTGGAGACAAAGTGAGACAATCCTCGGAGGTTTTCCTCATCTCCCGGCCATGGACTAAAATACAAAGACAAAGAGGATTACTAGACAGGAGCTGATTGGTTCCCCCAAACCAGGACTCCACCCACATCAGGCAGCTTGGTCTCTGAGGAGCTTACAATTCCACCCTCAAGGGAAC